CTGGCAACTTCTAAGCTTCTAGTTACCTGTTCCACTTTCCAGATGTCTTACAGTATCTATTAAGATGCTTTCTTCACGTATGTCACAAAGAAACATTCACATGCCTTAACAACATGGTGTCCACAGATGTGGTAACACACAGTGCCAGCAAAGACACTCCAGTTAACACAAGCTGAAAATCAGCTTGCTTTCTTTCTCTGATGTTGGTTGTACTATATAGTTCATATTCTTGAATATAATAAATCATTACTAATCTTTGCCAGCTGAAGCAATGGCCACTGAGATTCCTGAGGCCAGCAGTGCATCCAGTACAGGCCTTGTCTTAAATGACTTTTTTAATAAAGGAGTGGAAGTTCCATAGGGTCAGAATGCTCTTTGCAGTTCAGAAGCCACTGTAACTAATGGCATAGTCTGGCCTCTTTGTGTTTTGAGAATCTGAGCAAGGAAAGCTGAGGGCAAAATCTAGCCCTTAGTTTTTCTGATAATACAACCTTACATGGATGGCATGAGTCAGTTTCTACTACACTGTTTTCCAAGGTTTCTCTAGAACCCTAATCTGGATAGATTTTCACTGAGGTAACTTTTTAACTTCCTGATAATGCATTTTAATTTTTCTTACCTCGATGAAGGGAAGTTACAGCCTTTAGGAAAATACAGAAGTTTTAGCTAACATTGGCAATGCAACCTATACTTCAACAACGATGTACCTGAGCATAACTGCAAGAATAACTGCTCAACCTGTCTGAAAGGAAAAAAAAAAAAACAGCCATGACAGTGAGCAAGCAAGTCCAATGCAAGTTGTTAAAACCTGGCAAAGTTATAAAAATCTGGGGAAAGAACATCATAGTAAGGAGCTGAGGTACTTTGTGCAAGTACCAGTGGTAAACCCTGTGTAGATGAGGGACAAACAACACAGATTCTGTCTTTGCATCAAGAATGTGGCCTTTAACAAACAGACATATTTCACAGGAATTCAGTAACTTAACATCAGCTAAATTTTAGTGCTGTTTTGGTCACATAATATGTACAGTCTTGCTCAGCTACATAAAACCAAATTATATTCTTTTGTGCTTGATTCTTGCTACTGTGACTAACTAAATAGAGACTTAAGCTGACTTAAAGGAGTAAATAATTAAGCCTATGATGTTACAGTCTCCAACAGTACCATCTCATGAATACACACTTTTGATTCTGATATACAGAGAGGAACTTAAAATTTACTGCCTGCCCTTCAAGGAGGTACATAACATTCTGGTGGATGTGTACTGTGTTCATACACAGACAGCATCTCGTGAGATTAACTGCCTTGAGGAAATGCTCTCTCCATGGAAACACTGCACAAGAAAACATGTTTTGTCTTGTGTGTGAGCTGGGGAGTATGTTTGTTAGCCCATGGCAACAAATTTAAGACTGTTTATATTGTCCACCTTGACAATGATAGTTACTAGGCATTTCTCTCTCTCACCTTTTAATAATGGTGACAGTAACTTTGTGCATTTAAGCAATGACAAATTTGTTCCCACGAGGCCAAAAAACCACTCAAATGGCAAATAACAAACAAACCTTCTAGAAAACAGGAAAACATAATTTGAAACACGTTTATGAAAGTGAACATTCATATTAAATGAGAGGATACTAAAGACTACTGCTTCTTCAGACAACTTTGCTTGCGTGATTCAGAAAATGTTCATTTACTTTATCTGAGTGTCCTGGTAAAACTCAGCTCGGAATTTGCCCCTAGAACTGCTGCTTTAAAAGATTTCATTTGCAAGCACAGCTAGACTCCATTTCTTTTTCTACCTGTGCTGAATTATTGCTGTGCAAGATGTATCAGCATGAATTTCAGGTGATCCTTAGTTTGGAAGTGATTTTGTTGATGTACTTAACGATAGCCAGTCAAGGTACCTTTGAAATCAAGATTGTACTGGTGTAAAACTGGAACAGAATTAGACCCATTTTCTATCACTTAATATAGTCCTTAAATCTCTCCATGGAATGTGTCCACACTAGGCTGAAAAGAAGCCTCTTGGCAATACTGAATTATCATATTGAACTGTTTCCATCCATTTGCTGGGACTGCCAAATTGAAATGATGCATGTCAAGGCAACCTTACACTGAAAAGTAAAAGATAGCCTCTTAAATGTTCCATTTATAAAGCTTTTTATTCAGTCAAATTTAGTATCCCCTCTGAAATATATCACTTTACAAAATTGATACTTTGCCATTACAAGATTTCCACACCATATTCACTCAGCTTAGTAGTAAAAACAAGCTTTCTCTCTTTTCCCTTTGGTGCAGCCGATAAAAACTGAGTTGCTCAAGACCTGCTTCTCAGATCACCACCACTACAGATTCCACAATCTGTAATTCTGCAAGAAAGGATAAAAGTCAGCAAAAAGGCTAATTGTTAGGAGTATCAGTAAAACATCACAGGTGCATCATACTGGAATGCAGGAACTATTAAATTTAAAAACAAAAGACGAAGTTAACACTAAGGATGATAAGATGATCTGCAAAACAAAATGCATTCATGTAGACTCCGGAGCTCAATGCAAGGAATATCACTCAAGCAAGTAAGCAAAAATGACAGTGCCATGCTGAAGAACATGAATACGTTTTTTCCCAGCATGTTATAGTTGATTCTAATATGATAAACTGCTTTAATTACTCATTATTTCTCTTAAATTACTGTAGCCTTATGTGTTGGTTTTTTGTTGTTGTTTTGTCTTTCATTTGTTTTTTTATCCCTGCCGAGTAAATTTTGAACTAAGAATCATATATAAATAATTTTAACAAACGCCCTACTTTGGTATCTTTACATCTCAGTTCAGGAAAAAGACATGCTCGAAATGCAACCAATTTCAATTATTTTAAGCTGGAACATTTCTTTGGTTTGAAGTTTGCCAGACTTACTCTGTAGAGAAGTCTCATGATTATTTCTCCGATTATATTCTGATTTTGTGTATCACTCCAATGTTAGCTGGTGTTAGTTTTTTTCAATAGTCAATTTGCCTAAAAAAGGATGCTGTTGTTCCCTTACACTTTAACATTCCAAAGCAGCTACACATTACTAGCCAGCCATGTTTGATGAAAGAAAAATGACATTCCATTCAATAGCTGTTTCATTTTGATAACCAATTTGGCACGTATCACATTTTAATGATGAAGATCAGAGTATGTTTTTCCTAGGCATGAGGGAGTTTTGCAGTTGCTTCCAGTAGAAGAGAATCTGTGTAAATTGAGTCAAGAGTTCAGGGAGATCTTGCCAGAAGGAACTTTGCACAGAATATCACCAACATCAGTGGATCTCCATGTGTGCTTCTAGGTACAATTTGCTGTTCTCAACTTCTAAAAGCCCTCCTGTCACCACCATCTGCCTTTACGATGAGATGAAGTCTCCTCTTCTGAGATTGCAGACGCAGGTCTTCATCATCTCCTGGCCAAAGTATGTCATGTTACATGGGTCACTCCAAAAGTAATGCCTCCCCTTTACATATGGAAATCTAGTTTTTTCTTTACATTTGTAATGGTCTCAGCCCTGCAGATTAAAAAAAAAAAAAAAAGGATTTTGGTGTCCCTCTGAATTCCAAAACAATTCTATTTTCATAATATTCTATAGTTGATATTTTTATAGTAAGTTTCCAAGGTAACTTGATCCTTCTTTAGCTTTTATCATTCCAGATAACTATGTTGTGAGGAGATTTCCAATGAAACAGGAACATTAATACTTTCTGACAGGACCTTATGCTAGTATCGATTTTCAAGGCCAGAAGCAATTAGGATGACATAATAAAATATCCACTCTTGAGGATGCAGTTCTCAAATAATAAAAAGACTGGAGGAATAGGGATGAACATCAGTGATACGTTGACTTGCTCACAACTAGCATTTAAAAGAGGGCAAATCAAAGTTGTAGTAAGCATCCTCATTTGTTTGCAGTCACAGTACACTATCTTAGAGAAAGACGGGTATTTTCTAGGAGCAGAACCAAGGTAATGCAGGGAGATGTCAAGCTACTAATAGGGCTGTGGGTCAGTAACAGACACCTGGTGATAATCTTCAGTTTCTGGGGGATTCACTGGAGTTACTGTCTTTGCATTAGAAAAGCCACAAACCTGGTCATCAGAACAGCCATATAAGCATTAAGCATTTACAAAGTTGCATTCGCTACACGTATACCAATTTTCCTATCACAAATGTCAATTACGTGTACATACTTCATTATACCAGATGGATTTCTACTTCAGTAACTCTTCGTTAACATCCTTGCATTATTCTCGTTTAAACATTTACCAATGAAAGCTGTGTACTTTACTGGACACTGAATTATGATCTTTTTTCAGAAATTAACCTTTTAAAACAAAAGCTATAATTAAAGCTTAAGAGGAAAATCATGTAATGGAAACGTCCTTCAATTCCCTTTTAATTAACAGTACTGCACATAAATAGAAGCTGATCTACCTGCTTCCTCCAGAAAAAGCATACCAAAGTATAAGACATTATAACCTCAAAAGTCTCTGCATTAAAACACTTGTAGCTTCTGCTACTTCATACCACTTACATCCTGTTGTCTTACTAACTAGTTCACAGGGCACCTGTTCTTCACATCATACTTTTTTGAGGCCAACGTTTTGAACTTTGCACGTGAAAACATCTACACTAACACAAAGTTCACAGGTCTGGTTATAATATTCTACAGATACAAAACAACACACTTCAAGTCTTCCACAATTTTAACCTTAATCTCAAGAAAAAGACCCATGAGTCTAACTGTGCTTTTGTTTTGCAAAACTGTGACATTCATCTGTAGAAATAAAGCATGCTCATCTTACCTTTCAGCTGGCAGAAGTTTTTGCACTTTTGATGTGTATGCTCATGAGTTGCCCTGTAGATCTGAGGCAGCAAAGACAGGTACCAGCATCAGCACCTATAGAAACAAGCTCTCCTTAGCTGGATTGCTTGAACTGGAATGAAGAAATTCTTGCTTGTTCAGAATTTATCACAAACAAAAATCTGTAAATTCATACAGTCACTGAAAATGTTTCCAGAGATACACAACAATTACTTGAGTTTATTAAACTTGACTGTTATTTTGAAATATTTACTTTTAGATAGTCAGTGACAAGAGAATCTTCATTTTAGCACCTCACTGAAATAAATTCATGCTCTGCATATTGCATGATGCAGGACAACACCAAAGACAATACCCATCCACTGTAAATCACTCAGCTTGCAGTACTATAATAGGGGTACTGGATATATTTGTTTTAATCATACAGACTTTTACACTAACTCTATTTCCCAAGACTGCAGCCTGCTACCCAAATGGCATTTTGGTGAAATAAATTGTTTTTCATAATTAGCTTGCCCCTGCTTTTTAAGAAGCTATTAAACTAATAATTGAGTTTTCCTTTGTAGCATACTGAAAAATGAATTTATTAGGTTCTAATTCCTAATGGAATTAATGTACTCCCTCCCCTAAACAACTAAGCTTCACATTTGAGGGAAGGCTATTTTGCAAGGCAGAGCAGCAGTTCAAAGTGTACCCAAGAACAAAGATCTGAAAAACAGCAGCCAATGACCACACTCCTACCACCTCACAGCACATTTATGTCAGAGTCAGCACTAAGAGATGCACACCACAGCCAAAATTCCAATCAAGTTCCTGCACGTGCTGTTTCCTGTTTGCTGTCCCCTGCCTGCTCCTTTGTTCAGCCCTACAAAGCACTCATTTGGGCTCTTTCTGTTGTGGTTCCCCCCCTGCACGGATTAGACACTAGGACTTAAAGTGGAATTCAGGCTATTTGCTTGCAGCCCTTGAACCTCAGTTTCTTCAGAGACCACAGAAGTAAGGGAATACAGCATACATGCTATTCCAGAAGCTGAAAACAGAACAGTTCAATATAGTGAATAAACCTTACAATACTCTGTGAACACAAGAACTCACTCAATGGTGTAATGAGAAAGTAAACATGGGTTTTACATGAACACCACGAACTGGACAGCATTGTTTGAGACTGCTTTAATATTCAAGAGACGAAGTACATACAAAAACGTAAGTAAAAAAAATAATTCTTAGGCATTATAATCAAAGCAGTACCAGTATCTATTACCAACAAGCATTTGGCAAGTCATTATCATTTTAATAATGAAACATTATTTCTGCAGCATTACATGGCACTTACAGATATACAAACAACGCTTTTTTTTTTTTTTAAACCTCAGTGCATAGTTACCTCAGAAGGGAGCATCCTGGACAAAATACAACCCTGAAAAAATTTTTAAGTGTAATTTAATCAAGATGTTGCTATACAGCACTTCTGTAAGACACATACAGCGCAGAAAACACATTTTGATAACTTTAGGTGTCTCTGATAACATAAAAGGGAAAAAAAAAATTAGTTCATCTTTCTCTTCTTTGCTTTAGCAGGAGTTTGGTCATTTTCAGGATTTGGTTCCCAGAGTGCATTCCTTACAAATCTGGAAGCTGCTCCTTTATCAAGTTTGGATGCCTTTTTCTTGTCTGCTATTTCTTTGACCTTGTTCATGTATGTTCTTATTCTCTCCTAGAAAAAAAAAAAAATATATATATATATATATATATATATATATATATATATATATTTAGTGCTTATATTTACACGCACACAAGGGGTTTTTGTGTTGGGTTGTTTTTTTTTTCTCCCCAGACCGTCCTTCCAAGTTTACCACTAGAGTAAAATCAATTAGTAGGAGCACTCCACATGGTACCTTTCTATAACAAACAGAAAAATAGCATCTCCTAAATATATACCACGCTCTTTGCAAATTTAAGGCTTCCCTTTTAGCAGATTCTCCAACATGGGTACCTACCATACTAATATTTGCATGACATCCATCACCAAAGAAACATGAAGTCCTACAGCTGTACTGTAAGACAAGGGAATTGTATTTAATGTTGCTAAAAAATACAAAAAAAAACAAAACAAAACAAAAAGTTTGGCCTCAGTAAAGATGGCAAAATGAATATTTAGATATGATGTATTTATAAAATTGCACTACTCACTTTCTATGAAAGAGGGGAAGATGGAGAAAAAAAGAAGGAAGAAGAAATCAGCATAAAGCATCTTACAAAAGTCAAGAAGTCACAAGCATTAAGTATGCAACTACACAAAAGATCTGTGGTCAAGATCCTGAAAAGGTTCATTGCTAAGTCTCCCCTGACATATTCAAAGCAATCTGATGAATTTCCAGCTGTACTAGAGATATCTCTTATGACCATAAACGATCAAAAAGCCTGTTTCCACTGCCATTCTCTAAAGAGGGAATACATCCTTTCTTGTCACCTTTGCCTACAATAGTCATTGAGTGTCTCATGTCATGTTGAACAAAGCATGGCTTTGACCCAGCCTCACCTGCAGATCCCCACCAGTTTAACCATCTCATTTGTGTGCATGCTCACCCTCAGCCAGTTCTATAATCAATAAAGAAAATTACTTTGAGAGCGTAAACCCTCTAAGATGGGAATCACGTTCTGTTAAGTGCCTGCTTCTCCTCACTTAGTAGAGAGGACACTTGCAGTAATTCTGTACAGTAGGTAAAAGGTTGGCTCACAGATTTCACGTCTAGATATTTAGCCCAACATGGCCTTGAACTGTAGGGCCTTCAGGTGTTTCTGTACTACATGCAGCAAACAACAGTAATGCATGCATGTGTGATGCACATATGCTTTACCCAATGCATGAATTGCCAGAGTGGACTAACAGGACATTTATGGATATTGATAACTACATACATCCTGGTATTACCTAATCCACGACTACTGACAGCTTTTGGAATGTGAAACATCACCTACAAGACCTGCACTACAGATCTGATTTTTAGTTCTTCACTGACCCTTACAAGCAACTGATTTGTCAAAAAAATTGGACAATCTTGTGTCAAAAATCAGCTTTAATGAAGAGTGCTTTTCAAGGTCTGAAATCATGACAGACTGCGATTTTTTCCGGTGCCTGAGATGGTTCATGAGAACACGTGGCAAGCCTACATATATCAACATGGGAAGAAGCAGCTGACTAATATCAAAATGCTGAAAGAAATGAACTCTGATAGCTGGAATGCGAGTTTTATTAATATCATTTGAATCCCAATATACTCCCTGTACATACAGAAGGAGCAATTCTAAAAACAAAACAATCATGATGGAACAGTCTTTTTATTCCCTTTCCACATGAATAAGAACATCACAATGCTCCTGGAAGAAAGGAAAGAGCTGAAAGGAATCTAGCCTAGAATAAGTCACTCATTCTTCAAATTTAAAACGACTGCCAATTGTGAGGTAAAATACCAGCATAAAATACCCACACACAGTAGAAGAGATACAATTTATTTTTAGTATAACAAAATTAACGCAATATTCAGATGCTATATAATATAGGAGGAACAAGAAACTGACTGAGAGTTCATGAAATATTAACCGACCCATTTTTTAATGGGATACAGTCTAGACTACTGAAAACCTCACAAAATTAAAAATAGAAGGATTCTTGTTATTCAAGCTAGCTTTCCACATCTTTCATTCCTATCTTCTATTGCTCCTGTTACCTAAGGATTGCATTTAAGCTAAGTATATTATGATTGCCTAGATTTAGTGTTTTCATTTATACCAGAATTAAAAAGGGTAGCTCGAAGTTTTGAAATCTATTTTTTTTCTTTAAGCTGAATGATTTGATATTTTAAGTCAGCAGAATTTTTCAAGATACCATGCCTTCTGTACTGCAGTCATGCATCTAAATGGAATATAAAGACAAACCTAAAAGATTTATTACAGGCTGTAAATATGTCACTAATGCAGAATTACTGGACAATACACATACAACTGGTGCCAAAAAAGCTTTTAGCTTTGTTGCTGAACTGGATTCTTTACTGCTGAGAAAATGAATTAATGGAGGACTTGGAAGAAGGGGGGGCTCTTTCCCGTCTTTGCTAGTAAATCAACCACACTAGGCTTTCAGAGTCATACAAAAGTAAGAAAAAGACAGCCTCAGAGATTAACATGATTCCAAGTATTCCTAAGAAAAAAAAAATGCCATACTGGAAGTTATAAATTATTATCAGGCATGAAACATTTTTCTATTTAACAGATACAAGTGAAAAGCTATTCTGTTCAGAATTCGATTCTCAAAAAGAGAAATGGAGAAGCAGAAAGACAAGATGGCACTATTCATCTCGTTGCTTTTTCTTATTTCAGTGGGCTCTACAAATGATACTTCAAACTGCGCTGTTTGGAACTAAAAATACAAATTTCTTAATTTAGAGAACCCAGTAGGGCATACTAACAGGCAATTAGATAATATTACGTAGCATATGGGTGCTATCATGGCCATATGCCAATTTCAGAAGATACAAATATACATCTGCTTCTATATGAGTTCACAGCTCTGGACAAGTAAAGCACTGAAAGCATGCAATGTAAGAATCTTACCAGTTCCTGTTTCACTGGATGTTCCTTTGGATTGATTCCCTGAGTAGCCAAGTATACTACAAGAAGAAAAGGTGGTTTTGATATGGATGGCTGTGATGACTTAGTGCCCAATTAACCAGTCAAATAGGAAAACTGTAATTGCCACATGAAACTATTAATCATGGTGCTTAACCACATGGTTAAGTATCTGACAGCAACACCGTTATCAAATATTGCTGTTAAAAATACATATATATAATAAATAAATACATAAAATACATAATGCAGTTAAACTTTGCCCTTTTAAGAAGGACAGAAAAGGTTGCCAAAAAAAAAAAAAAAAAGCCACAAAGATTCTCAGGCATGTACAAAGCCAGCTTCTGTAATTATCAACATCATTTACCTTAGGAATAGCAACAATTTGAGTCCTTAGAGTTAATCATCAGTTTCTATCTATTTGGCTATGAAATACATTTGATAATAGATTTGATGTTTGCAGCTAGAAAGCATTCAAACAGTGATCATCTGAACCTTGTCCTCCTATCACATACTTACCCCAGAACATTGAATTCAAGGTGTACGCTGAAACCAAATCCAGTTTTGCTTGCTCAAGTGGCTCTAACTAGAATGAAAAGAGAAAGTCATTTACACATTTTCAAGATGTAAACATATTTTAGCAGCGTGCCTATTTCCAAACTGAGCATTAATGCATTCATAGATACATACTAAATTAGCATTTTTTTTTACAGCACAGGTTCACTGAGATGAAGCCTGTGTTTTCCTGCCACCTCAGGACCATACCCTCCTCTCCAAACAGTCACGTCATTTTCCCAGCTTGATCTTAAATTCCACAGTACCATATGGCCAAAATAATAAAACCTCTTAGTGTGGAGCTCTTTGACTCTTGTTCCCGCAGTCAGGAAAAAGACCCTATTTTTTCCACAAAAAATAGTTTCAAAATAGTTTCTGCTATCACCAGAAGAAAAAAGAATGTCTGAGTATTATTGAAGCTCAGATACGAGTGTGCTGTGAACAAGTGATGAACACTAGTATACATATAACATATAGCATTAGATTGCATTTGATGCATGCTAGAACACTTACAGCTGCCCAGCAAAGGAAGAAAAAAGGTAATGCCTTGTTTTTTTTCCCCTCAACTGTCAAAGTCAATTTATTGGTTTAGTCCTATAGGATTTCCAGAGACTCTGATAAGATCATTGTATAGTTCACTACTTCTAACATGGATACTGTCAAAAGATCAGTGTTGTCAAGACTGTTTTCCTCATAACTCATTTATTTTAAAAACCCCCAGAGGATAAAAAAAAAAAAAAAAAAAAAAGGTTCTCATGTTAGCTTTTCCTTGCCCCAAAGAAAGATGATACATGTAAGGTTTTAAATGTTACAAGACAGATAGACTTTTATGAGATCTTCAGGCAGTACTCTGCTGTCTTTATGTTCTGAGGGAGGAAAAAAAAATCCAAACATCCACAAACTTTACAGGCTTGTGCTTACAACACAGCTAGAAGAGACAACTCAGTTTTTCAGAGACCAGATTCTGCAAGTCAACAGGAAATCAATTCTCAATGTTGACAATTCATCTTCACATCCTTCTATATCAACCACATTTCTGTGATGTTTGTTGTGAAAAGGACATGGACAACTTGGAACGAGCTCTCTGCTCGGGAAGAGCGCTCAGCATGCACTTTTGGGAAGGTGAAGTATAGGATAGAAGCCCATTACCTAAATGATTCACTGGTAGAATCTTCACTTTCCACCTTTGAAGAATATACATTTCATCACTTAGTTCATAACATCATCTGGGTATCTTACAAACGCAGAAGTTTCAAATATTGGGTGTGACAGGTAGGCAGTGTAATATTTGTTATTTCTCTGTGCAGTGGCTAAACAGACCCTGTATTATTAACAGAAAGGCTATCAAGTGGAAGATGATTTACCTTCTGGAGAAGCTCACTTCTAGGAACTGACATCATTGTCTTCAACATCTCATCTACCGAAGTAAGAGATTTTTCAAATGTTGCAAGATAATCATGAATTTCAGTGGGATATTCTTCTGTGTTAATATCTTCTGCCATTTCCACCTAGAAAGAAGCAGCAAAATCAGTAACGCTCTCTGCAGATTCAAAAGACTATTTTAAAATAGAAACCACAAGCATTTATTCATTAAACATTATAAAAAGTGTCTCCTCCTGAAGAATTCCAGCCATCAGCATCAGTAGTGAAGTAGTGACACAGTTAAAGATCCCATAGCTCCAGGGATAAATCCCAACTGCTGTACAAAACAGCATGAAGGAGAATTACAAGTGATACCTATTCTTGTACCGGTCCCAAAGCAGTACTTAACTTTTATGGTCTGTGATAGAAGGAAATTATTTGCTTGCTTAAAAGTGCTCTAAATATCTAGTAAATCACAGTACATAAAGAGCTAAACCAAGCGCACACGTGCAAAAATTAGAGATATAGCTTCAGCCCATCCTAGGAACAGACATGACTTCAGCTTCAGAGTGGTTATGTAGCCCCAGTTATGTCAGGGTCAGTTATCTCTCTCAATCTTAAATTTAAGAGTTGGTCCAAGAAACGCTTCCTGTGAACTCTGCATCCAGCTCTCTGAATTCTCTGTAGACCACTTTAATCTGAGATATAACTCTAGCAGTAATGAAACTGAGTTGATTTTGATTTCCGAATGCAAATCTTGTAGACACATCCATGCAAAGCAACTGTGAGATCAGCAAAGATGTGAACGATCCCAGAGCACGCCAGTTTTGATCCCAGCATGTGCAGTAATGGGGCATGGCTACTGCCAAGCCATCTGGTCACTGGCTTCCAATCAAGATCTTTAATTAGATTCCTCTCCAATCATAAAACACATTATCTTGGAAAGCTGATGTTACTTAAATCTGCGTCATTTTCTACAGCTTCTACTGATTGAGCAACAATTTTTTTTTTTTTATGTTAAAAGAAGAAATACATTGTTTTCCTGCTAGTTTGCAGGGCTGCATCAGGAACAGTGGGTTCATCTGGATCACTGCAGTCCCTTCTGCTTGGGGTCAGTGGGGTCACTCCCAGCTGCTGAGTGCAGAAGGTGGGAGCTCTGGTTGGAGAAACCACACTCTCAAAGTTTGATCTCTGAATACCAAAGCCACGCAGCCAGCACAAACTGCAAGGAAACAGCAAACAGCTGTCATATCACTGCTGTTTGTTTTAGATAGAGATCTGATCTTTCCCTTTTCCAGGCAAGAACACAGTTTGTGTAGAGAGCTTTCTTTTTAGTTATATTGTCTCCTGGAGGTCAAGCAGGAGGAAGACTGAGAGGAACAACAGCATGGCACTATTTTCCTCAGGTCTCCTGAAACCTCCATTTTTAGCCACGTCAATGCAATTCCAAAGACATGAAAAGCCAGTTAACAAGCCCATTTCCATTGCTTTTATTTACATGGTTGAGTTATAATCCTACTCAGATGACTTCTTATCTTGGTCAGAAATGCTTTACTATACACTGAGGGTCCCCTCCATACCCCAGCATGCAACTCAAACCATTTCAATACCAACTCGGTCAGCTGCAGCATACCTAAGCAAGAAAGCTAAGCTGAACCTACAAAACACTGCCTACAAAAAGGTAAACAGCAATATAATTATTTCTACTCCCTATGATAGCATTGTTTGCATTTCATTCAATGCTACTTGCATTACAATCACCTTTCTCAGGCTGACTGAGAGCCCACCAGCTATCTGATAACCTTATAATACAGCACAGAAAATATTTAAAGCTACAGAAGACACTAAATTTGGCCAGCTGTTAACACAGTTAAGCTTGGTTAGAAGATGTCTGTCAGCATGCATTTACTATACTTACAAATACAGGGAGAGAAGTGTTATCCAATCCAACAATCAAAAACAGGGTTTACTGCTGCCTACAGTAATTTACCTACTATGGTCTTATGTTATGAATGTGCATGAACACATTGACAAATCCCAACTTTTCTGCCTCTTTTTTTTTTCCCTATGCTGGTTGCCCTGATAAAAACAAAAAAAAACCAACAGCAACAAACTCCCACAGCAGGAGCACGTTACCAATAAAAATAATTCAAGCTATTTCACCATAGTCGCATGGACACGCAGTCACCAGAACATACATTACATTCCTCTCAATATCCCAAAGTAACCCTACAAAATGAGGGAGGGAAAGAATACATATAGTAGGAAAGAAGAGAAACAGCTCAAAATAAGTTTTTCTACAAGAGGTACATAGCATGAGATATTTACTTGACACTTAATTAGGAAAGGAAAACAGTGTGTCAGCCATCACTGGAACAAGGTTGTACTCAGGCAGTGAAGGGTAGGGCAGTCAGCCTAAGTCTGCTTCTTGTGCCAAGGAAGGGGGGAGAATGTGTCAAACTTGTGTTTGCAGTTCAGCAGGAATCAGAGCAAGTTCCTCCTCCTGCTGTGCAGGGCCCTCTCTCTTTTCATTACACTGTTGTTTCAGCATTACTAATCTCCAAGCAGGATACATTACAGTGTTGGCACATGCCAACAATAAGGCAGCAGTCAACAGCCTACAAGAGTTTTGATAGTATTAAATCAACAAGAACAAACTTACACTGCATTAGAAAACATGCACACCGGAAACTCCACAGACCTGTTTCTGCCAAAACCAACACACACACAGCACAGTCACACCTGCTGAATGACAAAGGCAAGGACTGAGACCGTATCAGTGACTCTGTAATTACACCTAAAGGTTACACTGCCCTCCATAGTTACGTTTCGGTTATTAAACCACAAACATTTCCTCAAAGTTCTGCAAGTGTTTCCCAGTGTATTTTGAACAAGCAGAAATTCAGTTCCAGAAGTGGACGTTTACTACACTGATATCTTTTGTTGGATTTGCTGGCTTTCAACTGTATTTTATTTGCCCCAGAGATCCAACTTAAAAGTAAGAGTACTACAAGTATTCAGATACGTGGAGGTATGAAAATATTTGCTGATCAAACATGAGCACGGGGAAAAATAAGGATAAGAACATATTTCCATCAGCAAGTAACACAATGGTGAACATATAATCTGTGGTTGTGCAATGACAGTACCTTATAAGACCTTTAATTTTGAGAACGCAAAGGAAAGCTCAGAACCCATAAACACAACATGAAAAAGGCCAATTTTGATTGAAGACATTGAGAGAAACAAAAAGCGTGGACAAATGTGGCATGACTTCATGACATCAATCTACCAGGAACAAGTTTCCCTTTTAACCCTACGGTTTTTACCAACATAAGCCTCAGCAATCAGTTGCCTGCTGGCTCAAAAAGAGAAACAAATCAACCCCACTTTCCTTCCTGCCCACCTGGACATCAAAACTGTCCCTCTTATTTTGAAAAACAAACTCTAATTAGGATGTGGGTGCATAATGAGAGATTTTGCTGAAGAAGCATGGGGAAAGTAACAGAAGCTACAGGTATACATCAACATGGTAACATGAACCCTCAAAAGACAGAATTAAAGTACATTCAGCGTCCCACATGTGATTTCCACCCACAATTAAAACAGCACTTTCAGGATAAAAATGATTTATTGGAAGTAGTTTGTAACGAGTAAAAAGATGACAAAAAAAGAATTAAGCATCCAGCACTGTGTTTAATATTGCATCACACTTAGCACTTCCTACTAGTTCTCACCTTTTTTAAGCACTACAAAGCCTTGTTTTCAAACTGAGCTCAGATCTTTTACTTTTTTTCAGATGATTCGCCTAACAAAAAACAGATGAGACTCTCTTGCTTTTCACTGATATCTATGGATTACGTACAGAAAACCAAAAGAAACCCAAACACTTTTAGTCAGGGTAGGTAAACCCCTTTCAGATTCAAATCAAATGCATTAGCAATGTGGGTATGACAAACCATCTATGCCAGTATCTAAAATTTGGCACTGTCCTCCCTCTTTCAAATTCTGAATCAGAACTTGTAGTGGCTGTAGGTGATACACAAGCATGGCAGATGTCTATTCTGCTCTAACATTAATTCACTGCTGCAGCTGTACAGCAACGAAGACACATGGAACAAACATCTTAAATTTAAAACTACTTGAGACCACAACAAAGCTTCTTAATTACAAACATCTTCTGGACAAATAAATCCACTTTGTTTTGGACAGAGATATCCATTTTATTCCATATTTGCAACACTGTAAGTACCATAGGATCTGGTCCATGGCAAAGACTGCTTAGCACTACTACTGCATAACAAGTAATTAGGTACTTGCTAATTATCACCGTGTCCATAGAGCTGTTCCTTCAAGGCAGCTTGGGGCAGCTGGAGAGTGCATCTACTGAGCACAGTTACAGTGCTTCAAACACCAACACACAGTCTTGTTTGCAAAAGCAATTAAGCCTATAATGAAATACCAGATATGCAGCATTAGCTTCTCTTGATTCCCTTAAAAATATTCCAATCCAAGCCACAGGAGTTATCCAGTGCACCCTTTACACTACTTTATGCAAAGGTAACAGCCAAGCAATCGCTTTTAACCCTGACATCAAAGCTAAGCTCCTGGCAGTATTCCAACCTGCACAGAAAAGCCCTGCAATACACCTGGCATCACCAGGTTCTTGCTGATGCCACTGAGATTTAATCTCATCAGTCCCAGAGGATCTGCAAAGTTTATTGTACTCTGTCTTAAAGGAATACCAAAATTTAAAGGAAGGGAATAATATTTTTAAGGCTCACTTGCATTTCAGCCCACAGGGATACGATGAGAAACCAAGTATCCCATCCTAGTTCTTATTCACTTCTACTCTATCTACATAGGGAGAAACTTTCAACTTGATCCCTATGATTCCCAGAACATTTTTATTCTCTGTACAGTTTCATCAGCAGTGCTAGATTCCAGAGCCGATGACAAAGTCATTTCCTCTGCTGAACAAATCCAATATATGCTGGCTCTTGTTCAGCTCAAATCTGTCAGTGCTCCCATCAGCAAGCACAACAATAAAACCAGCTGTCTTTGTGTTTGTCCAGAACACCTCTGAGTGAGACATGTTCATAAAAGCTCTCACACTATGCTAGGACAGCTCATTTCAAGACAGGCTTCCAAGTGATGGTAGGTTTGAACGTGTGACTGGTCTCACACTTCTGGTCGCACTGAAAACCAAGAAGCACGTGTACAGCAAAACTATACTATAAACCCTACTATAGTTTACTGAGTTGTGTCCACTTTGACAATGTATCCCTGTATTTTTTTTTCTTTTCAGTCTGTGAGAGTAGTCAATAGTTCTGCCCTACCAAATTCCCAGCAAACAGAAATGAACAAGTGCCCCATCTGCAGCTACTCAACCCTGGAGTTTCCTGCTTCTTCCAAAACATGCTGCCACACATTTCCTCTAGCCCCCATTTCTACAATCCATGAAAAACATACTTTCTTTCACTGGAATTTCATTTTCTACATTTACACTTTCTGCAGTACCTTTTTCTGCTGATCTGAACAGCGATCCTAATGTACTTTTGGCTGTTCGTTAGTTGACCATGCTAGCAAAACAGCCTGAACTGAATTATTTTAACCACAGCCTGTACAAGCAAACTCTATCTCCACTTTGAAAATCAGGCTCTCCTTACAATAGACACTGATTTCTTGATATTCCTTGAGTTCCAACACCATTTTATAGAACCACCACACATCACTGAGTTGGAAGGGACCTTTAAAGGTCATCTGGTCCATCTCTCACGAAGTGAACAAAGACACCTACAGCTCAATCAGGAGCTCAGAGCTCCTTCCTTGAGCTCTCGGATGTACCCAAGGACATGGCATCCACCCCCACTGGGTAAACTGCACCAGTGCCACCCTTAATGTAAAATCTTTCTTCTTACCTCCAATCTAAATGTACCTTCTTTTAATTTGAAACCATTTCTCCTTGTCCTGTCAGAACATACCCTGCTAAAGAGTTTGTCCCCTTCTTTCTTATAACCCCCCCTCTCCCCCCATCAGATATAGAAAGGCTGCTCTCAGGTCTCCTCAGAGCCTTCCCTTCTCCAGGCTGCACAGCCCCAGCTCTCAGCCTGTCCTTGCAGAGAGGTGTTCCACCCCTGGGATCGTTTTTGGATGCACTCCAACAGGTCCATGTCTCTCCTGTACTGAGCATTCCATACCTGGACGTAGTGCTCCAGGTGAGGTGTCTCAGCTCAGAGCAGAGGCAGGATCTCCTCCCTCACCCTGCTTGCCACGCTACTTTGGATGCAGCTCAGAATGTGGTTGGTTCTCCGGGCTGCAAGGGCACAGTGCTGGCTCATATCCAGCTGCTATCCACCAATACCCCCAGGTTGCTTTCAGTCAGGCCGTGCTCTATCCTTACATCCTCAGTTTGTACTGATAGTGTAGGTTGCCATGACCCAGAACTCTTAGCAGGAACCCCATGTTTATGTCTACAGCACAACCTGCCTAGGTACAGCCACCCTCTGGGCACGACTTCAGCTGAAAAGCACACAGCCCACAGTCACTTAACAACTGAAGTTAGGCATACATCACCCTGCCTGTGCTCACCAATAGAATGAGTGCCGCACGCAGCTCAGCTTTGGGAAGTCACGGAGCACTCACACGTCTGGGACTGCAGAACATTTCAAAGCTCCCTGAAAGCCTCGGTGCCTCTCGGCCCACACGCAGGCTCCACGACCACGTGTCATTTGAAATAAGCACGTGCACAAATCAAGGCATCCCATAAGCCCCACCTCCTGCTCTTTGTGACCGCCTGGTGCCTGACCAAGCCTGCAGGCACCAGGCCGTGGAATTTTAGCATTTTAGAGTTACGATACCGACCTTTTTGCAAACGTCACCTCCACATCTCCTCCGCTACAGACACACGAGGCTGGAACAACGCAATGAACGTTAGAGGCCCTCGTTCCCAAACTGCTGCTCCTGGCGGCTCCAAAAACCCTTAAATCACACACAGCGATGTGATGACTCTTACACCGAAGGGATGAAGGCCTCGATTCCCACCTCCTCAGCCCCACTGACGGACCCGAGCCAGCAGCACCGCTCGCCGGAAAGCGCGCTGAGAGCGGAAAAGCGACGGGGGGCGGGGCCTACGGCGGCGCGCGGTGATGACGTCACGTCGTCGCCAGTGGGCGGGAATGGCGGATGTTACCTCACGGCCTTTCCCCGGTGGGTGGAGTTCGCTGCAGCGCGCTCTGAGGAAAGAATTTCTTAGTGACGTTTAACCCAAATCTCCCCTCTTTCGGTTTAAAGCCATTCCCCCTTGTCCTGACGCCATCGGACCGCGTAAAATGTCAGTCCCCCTCCTGCAGCCTTCTGTAACTGGAAGGAATGAGGGGAATGGTGCTAGATGTTTGGGGTTCGCTGCCCTGCACGCTTCTTGGGGCATGCAGCGTAATGTAAAATATCTCAAAAATGAACTTCCTTCTCGTTGGCTGGTTTTCGAAGGAGTCTGTTCTAATTAAGTCAGTATGAACTGCAAACGAGTCTTTTTCCCTAAGACTGGCTGGAAACTTATCTGAAGATCTTCAGTCACAGTGCTGGTTTACATCTTGTCATCTCCTTTACCTCCGGGAGATTTAGATGTTTTCAGTTTCAACAAAAGCTGGATGAAAAAGCAATGCAAGTCTGCAAGTATTTCAGGGCAATAATAGAACCCATTTTGTTGACTTTTTCACAACCGCTTTATAAAAAAACACAGCCTCATTATCTCATTCATTCTCCCCAGTACAATTACAGTTACTAACTGTATGCAAAAGGGAATTCAGAGGAGATTTTGTGTATAATATTTAAAAATGCAACACATTGAAGGGTAACAGAAACAGCAAGACTTGAATTCCTAAATAAAACCCCACAGAACATTTGGCACACAGTCAACTCATTCTGACCTCTGTGTGCACATGTCACAGATTGGGTACCCAGAGAGGGAAGCTTGATTGATTGATTGAGAGGGAAGACAGATTGATTTACCAAACATTAGGTAGGAAGTTTCTGCAAGAGTCATATTTCCTAAACCCCACGTTTTGTTTCAGTCGCAAGATGAAAGGAAAATGCAGTGCTGATCAGCCAACACTGTAGAAGATTGTAACCAGGTACAGAATTAATGCAGTGCAGGCTGGACTCAATCAGTCTTTCACGATCTTACACTGTGGCTCTTTGTCGCCTTCTAGTGGATTACTTCTGTTATACATGTTAGTGGCTCCAAACTGCTGATTTGTGGCTATATTCAGTTCACTGGGGTGAACTTAGTGCCGTGGGTCCTCGAATTTCTTGAAGCAGTTCACTAAAAAGACTGCTAGGTATGGCAGAATTGTCTTCTGCTAAAATGGCTCTCTCACTTGTTCGTCTTTCAGAGAAATGAGGACCTAAGGATTTGCATTTATCACAGCCAAAGTCTGATTTGAGATGCAGCATATGCAATTGAGTTGTTTTATGTTGGTGCCACTGTGAAAGTGTATTACGATGTATGAATATCTGTAAAAAAGAAATTTACCCAAGAAAAGCTATACTGCCAGCCAGAACTTAATAGAAGACATTTCATTTGAGAGGGCTATGAATGATTATTGATTTTTCTCTATAATTCCCAAAACAACAGAAAACAATCCTAAATACTTTTGCCAGAATAGTCAAAGTGATAGGCATCCTTAATGTAATTAGACCTTTATTATGATTTATCTCACTATATACACACCACATATTGACTCCTGCAGAGTAGGCAGGGATGCCAAATCCCATAGGCTTGACCTCACTGGAACCATTATGCTTACAAGAGAGCAGAAGGATTTCTGTTCTGGGGTCACTTCCAGTATTCTTATCAGGATTATTAATACTTTAAGATGGGCGTATTTGCAGTATTTAAGATGAGCATTAATGTTTTATCAGTTTACTGTTAAAAGTCTTGATATTTCAGAATATTAGACTGCCTCAACTTTTCACCTCAGAGGGTCTGACCCACAGATTTTGTTTAAAAGAAAGCTTCTTGTTGCCTGTTTTACACTTTCTAATGTCTGTGGAGTCCTCAGTTGTATTTCTGTGGCTCGAATGACATGATTTACTAGCTGCTCCTCCCTTGGGCATTATTTTAAAGCAAAATGCATCTCACTAAATTATGGTGAAATGAAACTTTCCAGATTATTTGCATTTTGGTAAAGATATCAAGAGGAGATGTCTAATCACATAAGCCTGTGTCATGCCAAACACCACAGCCTGAAGTACAGACCAGCTGTGGTGACTCCAAGTCCCAGGAAATAATGCTACTGAAAAAGCCTTCTCACATAATAAATCACTTTTTATTCTGGCAAACCATATCTTAAACCTCCAGGGAGTCAGTAGCTGTGCTGAAATTGCTAAAGTAATTCAGACTTAAATCAGATTTAATTCTGTAAGATTACAGCTAATCTATTTTGAAACTTAGTTGAGAAGTGTTGTGGTACCTCTGGTCAGCCCATAGGTTGGGTTTGTGTGCTTGTCTGAGACTCTACAATATCACATTTTAATCTATTTCAAGAAATGAGTTAGTCTGCACCTGGGTACCTGACCTGCAAACCATTTCACCATTGAATTACCTGGCTGTAATGCTATGAAAAGCACAGCAATGACAGCAGAGCAGCAAGGTCCCAAGCTGCAGCAAGCGAGGATTTATTCAAGTGCAACACTCATTAGCACAGAAATAAAGGAAAAAAGCTTTGAAAAAAAGCTTCCTCCCTTCAGAAGGTCTCAGGTACACAGGATCTCTAGCAAAATATTCTTGCTTCCACTGCCATCCCTTAAATGAGAATGGAAAGGGGTGGATTCTGGCTCCACTCCCTTCTAGTCACTCAGATGCTTTGCATGCACTTGACCTCCCTTTGGTTGGCCCTGCCTTCCCATCAGATGCTCCATCAGTGGTTCAGGCTGTGACTCAGCATTTCTGCTACACTGGCCTACTGTGTTTAAAGTCAGTTTATGGCCAAAATCATTAAAAAGCAGAATATTGGAAGATACCTTGTAAAATCCCAGGCTGGGACATGCAGACCAGCTCAGGAGATATTAGTATGTGGAGTACACTTGTATCAGAAGCCCTTAGCCACATTAAGAAATCTCTGGGCCTTTCATGATTTTTAGGTCTGTTTCTTTGGGGTGTAATCTAATTAATCTATGCCATCTGTTCTGTAGGCAGATCAGTGAATTACCAGAAGAGGGCGTAGCAGGAGTAAGGTGAAGCGTGGACATCCCTCTGCTCATCTGCCCGCCTACCTGCACTTGCCGCTGAGTGCAAGAGGGGTGAGTACCTGATGTTTCCTTCGGCTCATGAGAAGACAAAATGGTTGCTGGTTGCTAACTGGTAACTACAGGCAGCTCAACAGCATGCTTATGGTAATTTACTCTGCCTGTATTCTACAGAGATCAGATACATGAAAGGAATAGGCAAGCAAGGCAGGAAGAGAGAATTTACAGTGATTTATTACAAGGCAAATGATAAGTATAGGAAGATGAAGATGTCTGACTGTCAGATTTGTGCCCCAGCCACTAGACTGGATAAAAAGAGTGTATAATCAAAAAATATTAGGATGTCATAATCACAAAAAAAAAAAAAAAAAAAAAAAACCAGGAGAATTAGGTAAAGTAGACTATGATAACAAAAGAGAATAAATAAAAGGCTGACCCCTATCCTAGGCTCACCCACAAAACACCAGCAGAGGCAACCTCTAGAAGAGATCCTTCCCCACTGGTAGCCAGCTCTTAAATAGGTCTAGGAGGGGTGGAGCCAGGCAGCACAGGTGAATTGCCTTCACCTGTGCTGCTCTGGCTGACTCATTGCTCACCTCAGGTGATCAATCAGAGGTTCAGGCCGTGACTCAGCAGTTCCCATACAAAGGGAAATACAGTCTTGTGGCTAACCCACAGGGAAGTCTCTCATCTTCAGGAGCTAAAACCCAAAAACTATAGCAGTGGCACTTAGGACAGTGGAAGAGAAGTATAACCTCCAACATTTTCCGTGTTCTGATACAGCCTGCTGGATTTGGTAGTGGTATATGTTGCACCGTATGCCCAGGTGAACTTAGACTCACCTTTCAGATAAAAAGTTCTGGAAATGTTTTTCATTTTTTTCTGCACTCGAATTAAATTAGAATGGCTTTAAACATACTGAACAGAGGTTCTTTTCCCTTTTGAAAACATTTCTAATCAAAATACAGATGTAAAAGTATGTGGAAAGAAGGAAACTGAGCTCTATAACCTTGTTTTTGAGAGGAAAAATAATATAATTCAATAAAACTGGCTTAAACTCTTTGATTAAAGCTTTTTTAACATAACAGATAGGGAGGCTGAGATCTACACCGAGATAAAGACGGTTAATACAGATCAAAAGAGCTTGTGTCCGTGCCAGCTAGATTAAATGACAGGATGTGGTGAAGTGCTGGATGCTGTATCTTGTTACTTTACATATGAAACTTTATTTGCTGGATGCAAATATATTGATGAAGTTATATGCATTTATATATGAAAACAGTAGAAATAGATCAAAAGCAGTCTACCACGCACAGAGTATTTGTTCTGATATTGTTCCAACACTGCATTTCTTCCAATTCATAGAATGGCTTGGGTTGGAAGGGACCTTAACAACCATCTGGTTCCAACCTCTGCTGTGGGCTGGTTGCCACCCAACAGACCAGGCTGTTCAGGGGCCCATCCCTGGCCTTGAAGGCCTCCAGGGATGGGGTACCCACAGCTTCTCTAGGCAGCCTTTGCCATGGCCTCACCAATCTCTGAGTACAGAATTTTCCCCAGGCTTCTAACCTCAGTCTCTCCTCTTCCTTTTAAACTAAAGTTTAAAACCATTCCCCTTTCCCTATCACTCGGGCTGTGTAAAATGTTGATCTCTCTCCTGTTTATAAGCTCCCTTAAATACTGGAAGGCAATGACATCACCCTGGAACCTTCTCTTCTTCAGCCTAGCTCCCTCAGCTTTAGGAGAGGTGCTTCAGCCCTCTCATTGTCTTTGTGCCCTCCTCTGGACCCACTCCAACATCCTTCTTGTGCTGAGCACCCCAGGCCCAGATGTAGAACTCCAGATGGGGTCTCATGAGGGCAGAGCAGAGG